ATTGACGCTCCAGGCTGGTGCCTCCTGGCAGATCCGGCTGCCGTTGGCTGCCCCCTCAGAGGCCGAGGCCAGACCCAGCCCCAGCCAGGTGGCCAGGGCCAGCACCAGCAGCCCCATCCCAGACCCCCAGCCCTGGCAGGGACAAACAGGGCATTAGTCTCCACTCTACCCCAAGTCTCAACCCAGTGGGGTCCTCCCAGCCCCGATGAAACCCCACACCCCTCCTTGCACACCTCTCTGGGGCAGACAAAGACTGGTGGGCAGTATCATACTGGTCCCAGTAGGTCACTGGGAGCCAGGATGCCTGTGCTGGTGGGGTGAGGAAAGGGGAGGGTGAGGGATTGGGGTGACCAGCTCCCAACGAGCACTGCATCCTCAACCCTGGCTTTCGGGGGCACCTGAGCAGCGAAACACCCACACCATGCACTGAGGGGGGAAGGTCCCACTCCCCCCATGGGCCTCCTCCACCTCCCCAAACCCAAAAGCCAGATCTAGGCATAGCCAGGGGTCTGTCTTTGACTAAGGGGTAGGCAGGGATGCAGCCCCCATCATCCTGGCAGCCAGCAAAGCGTCAGTGGGACAGGGATGGTTTCACCTTCAGGTCACCTTGAGAGTCAATGCTCCACAAAGCACTTGAGGGGTGCACAGAGTCTTTAAACCCCTGCCCCCTCCAATATCTGCCTTAAGTCCCCTTCCTTCCACAGCCCCTTAGCCCTGCCCAACCCAAGATATACCCCATTCCTCCAGGATCCAGCAGGTTTAATGGGCAGGGGGAGGACACAGGCCTGGGGGGATGATCTGGGGATATGGGGAGGGAGCAGGGGGCTGTGGGGTCTGGTCAGGATGGAGGTACCCTCAATCCCCAGCCCTCTCGCCCATGAAAACAAGACCTCAATACCGCTCTTTTCCTCACTGCTGTCCTCTGGCCAGACCTTGGCTCCCGGGGTGCTCGGCAATGCCCAGCTGGCCCTGGTCTCCCTTTTATCTCCTGTCCACTCTCCCCGCCCAGGAGGGAGGAGAAGAGCCGAGCTGGAGCTGGGACAGAGCCCCAGCCAACACCTCCTGCCTCGGGGGCTGACAACAAGGCAGGCACTGTCCCTTTCTGTGCCATGCAGCTTTGGAGTCCTGCTGCCACAGCCCAGCCTGAGCAGCTCTGGAACAACGCAGTGCCTGGTGCTGGGCTGGAGCAGAAGGTGCCAGGCAGTGCCATGGGGAGAGGCTGGGCACAGCCACTCAAAACCCCCCATGGGCACATGAGGGCCAGCAGCATTGCTGCTTGCACCAAAGAGTTGCAGGACCATGGGCTTACACCAAACCGTGCCAGCCATTCACAAGGTCCCCAGGGAGCCATCACCCTGTGGCCAAAGAGATGGGTGCCAGCTCCACACATCCGGGGTGCCAGGGCTCCCTGCCCCACCTGTGCCACCTCAAAGGCCATGCTGTCCTGCCGCATGGTGCCACAGCTGCTCATGGGCCACATCTGGCCCCACAGCAAGCCCCCGGTGTCCAGTCTGGGGGCCCCTCCTGCCTGGCCCCACACCAGTGGGGCTGTGGTGTCTTGAGGAGACGGTAATCCCTTGGGAAATCACAGTGCTGGTCGATTCCCACCCCTACCCTCTGCCCTGCAGCCAAACAAGAGGAGCTCACGGCTTGGGCTGCACAGGGACATCTCAGCAAATATTTGAGCAGTTTATCATACCTGGGCTCTGAACAAAAACATGATAAGGCAGGGAAGGGCAGCACACAAGCACACACGGGCGCAGCACCGCGGTCCCGGGCACATCGGGCTGGGGGGGCGGGGGTGTCTGAAAACAGGCACAAAGAGCAAGGAGAGAGGGGATCGCTGCTGGGGGGCTGGGGGCTCGGCGTTGTCAACAAGAATGTGGGGCCATAGTTTGGGGAGCAGGCACAGCTGTGCAGGGTGAGCCTGGTGCAAACCCATCCCGTGACCGACTCCAGACCCTCCAGAGCGGTGACCCCCGGACCTGCCCGCTGCTCCCCCCAAGTCCCCACAGGTACCTGGGCACCGTGAAGCACCCAGCACTCCGTAGGGGCACACGTACCCCTCAGCATGTCCTGCGCCATGGGATTCGGGACAGCAAGGAACAACCCAGCACAGCCACAAACCATTTCGTCACGGCCCCTGGGGACCCCGAGCCGCCGTCTTTGGTCCCCCCCCCACCCTTTTCTTGTCC